TTTCATACAAGTCCTCATTGGACTTGACTTTGAAAATTCCACTATTGACTTTGACTAGATAAAAATGTGGGTTGTAACACCTAGTCTTGGGGGTAACTGGGCAACAAAGAATCAGGTCGAGCTTGAGGTGAAAGCTCGACCTGATAAGAAGGTACAAAGGCGGCACAATTTGCAGGAACAACTTAACAAGACGGGAAACATCAGGAGTCAGCATGACATTCAAACTCGAGGTGTTGAGAAGCACAATGTACCAACAATTAGAAATTTAAGGAGTACAGTCAAGTTTGACAGTGGGGACAATTGGAGAGAGGATGTACAGGCTGTTAAACTGTCAAATGAAAATGAGAAAGGTGGTGGAGAAAATAAGAAGAAAAGGGACAACAAGAGTGCCAATGATTTGGAAGTCCAGGAAACTGCTGAATTTCGCAACGAAGGAAACTGTGACTCCGTCCTGCCTTCGATTAAATTAGACAGAAGTGTATGTCGCTTTTTTTTTTTTTTTAAATAATTTCAACGCATTTGTGCTACAGTATGGTCAATCCTCCCTCCCGTGTTTCTATCTTTTTTCTTGTTTTTTCTCCAAAATTGTAGAAACAAAATTTACTAATTAATAGTTACATGGGATTATTTTGCACAGATGAATGAGGATGACTACCAGATTTTGGGTGTGTACTCTGAGTTCAGGAAAAAGGTCATAAATATTATGAGGAAGCCATACAGCAGAGCGGAGTATGATGAGCTTCGACAAGCTGTCAAAGCCCAAACGACAGAAGAAAGCGATCTCATATGTTCAAGGACCAAACAATTGCGAGGGAAATCCTATCTTAATTACTATCCCGGTCCGTGTAGCCTCTCATTTGCTCTGCATAACTTCCTAATATTTTGACCTTCCAGTGTAACCATTTAATGCAGTGATATTTGTCAGTGTGAAGTTAAGGCCTAGTTTCCAAGTTACTAAAAATCATGATTCAGGATTGCTTCATTTCTATGATAAAGTTTTGCCTGCTTAATCTATAGTTGCTGTATTTGCACGTCATTGTTCATGATTCATCTATACGACTATACTGATTATATGTTATCCTTTTCTTTTCTTTTTTGGTTTAAGTTCTTTGACGACTTGGATTCTAGTGAAAGATTCTATTTGGATTTCTCGTTTATAATTGCCCGATCACCTGAGTCAATTAGCTTCAGGAGAAAATGCTTCTGTCAAAATTGTTTCTTGGCTTGATGTACCATTATTTTCAACTTTTCAAAGGAAAAATCTGGTTAAAACTTACCTGCCTAAAAGCTCCGCTAGCGAAACCCATCCGACTCCCAAATTTATCGTCTCTCTCTCTCTCTTGCAACCTACCTGCCTAAAAGCTTGAACAATTCAAAGAAAAACTAAACTGGAATAGCTCGTTTATTAGTTTTGACTCGTACACGTGCTTATACAATTTTCATGATATAGCGATGTTTCTAAAATCAATAAAATCTAAAATGAGTCTTCTATTGAGTTTTCATTTTGTTTTTGCACATTAGAATGCTGAATGCAACTTGTCTAAGATTCCCTACTGTTGATTGGCTTACCATGCACCTTGAAAGAAACTATAGAATAGATAAGGCCAGGTAGGGAAGAAAAGTGAAAAACGAAAAGGTTGCCTGCAGGTATGGTTAGTGCAACGACACACCACAGTGTGCGTATGTGAGCATGCGTGCATATGAGAGAGACGACAGATGAAAATAGTAAAGTATCCAGTATGGATTTGTATATTTTACTTGAAAGAAGCTTTTGTCCATGGTCAAAGACAATGTAAGCTAAGGGAGGGAGAATACATGAATTTTTTAACCAATGTTGTTATTTCAACGAGTTGTTCTGTAGAAATAAACTCATTTTATGATTTGCTTTGATTAATTATCCTATGAGACTAAATTTGTCAACACTATCATTTGCGTATTACTTTTAAAAATTTTCTTGGTTGTCATCCTGAATGATTTTCAATGTGCAATCTGTTGTAGACTAAAATGCTTTCTTCCCTTTCTTCTATTTTCATAGTCCCAAGTTTCTGTTTCTATGTGTTTATTATGTCTGTCGTGCTATACTTTTCTGACTTAGAAATTATTTTATTTATATATTTTTATGTTTTTTGCATGCCTAATCTATTATACTCTGTATTGCATACAGATCTTCATAGACAGCTGAAAAAGTTCGAAAAAGACAGAAGAAGTAACTTGAAAACCTTACGCGGATTTTTCTTTTGGCTAGAGGTGTGGGATTGTTTTCTTCTACATACTCCTTCTGTCCAATAAAGATAAGTTTGCTTTCATTTTCACATAGATTTAGAAAATATAATTAATATAAATTTTACTTACGTTCTTTATAATATACCCTTACATTAAATAATAATTTAAATAAGAGTAGTTCATATTTATTGATAATAAGAAACGTTAAATTGGGACAGATTAGAAAATTAAGAAATCTAAATATACTCTTTAATAGGAAGGTGGTCTCTTATTTGGGACAAACGAGGAAAAAAAAAGTCTATCTTCATGGGACGGAGGGTGTATATTATTTGATTTTATGTTTTACTGATAATTATATTCCCCATGGTAACGTGCCATATGATGGATGTAAGGAAAAGAGATCAATTTGTTAAATCCTGTGCTGCTTGATCCCCTCCCTGAGACTTCACAAAATATAACACTCAATGAGATTTTAACCATGTTCAAGTCCATAATTACAATTTTTATCCATCAGTATGATGTAAATGTTTTCATAATAGAAGGTTGTAGACTATGAATCTGAAATCACAACCTGCACAGGGCTGATTAAGAGAGATCCTGACGAAGAACGGAAGGTAGAAAGTGAGAAAAAGATAGAGAAACAGAAGAGAGAGAAAAAAATTTGTGGTAGTAGAGGTGGTGGTTATAGTAGGAATTTCATTATCACTCGGTAATCAAATTGATATTCAACATGATTAAAAACCATCAGTTCTAATCATACTTAAAATCACAAGTGAAAATAAGAAGTTGCCCAAATAACAGAAACAGAAAATTTCTTAACTTAAACATACTAATTATGGACTGAAGATTACTAAAAATGAAATCTCACCTACTTCTTATACTTTAAATATGTACAATTTTGCATGTTAAATGTGTACCCCCTTTTTTTGTCCAATTTCGTCACATGCTCCATCAGTGTGATTTTGTTGAAAAAAATATAGTCAAGGGAGTAATAATGTTAGGAAGAAAAATAGGAGATGCTCAAGGTTGGCGAACTGAGGGAAAATTCTTGTAAACAGGATTTAAACCTTTTTATTTTTTGCTCTTCCATTGCCTTTCGTTAACTCTATTGTAATTTTTCAATCTGGTGGTTGTACAAAATTAGCAGATTGTAAGAGCCATTAAAAACTAATCTTATTCCCAACATATTTAGGTTTAGCTACATGATTCATTTGTTGTAAACTGCCATAAACTGTATACAAAGAGAGAGAGAGAGAGAAATTGTTTGAAAGGCCTATAAATAAAATGAGTTGCCTAAGAGTTGTTTGTTAGTTTACACCAAATTAGAATATGTATGAAATAATTTTCTGTATGGAATGTCGGATCCATAGTCATCAAACTATGATTGCAGTTGAAGGTTTGAAATAAGAATCAAGTCAATCATGAATTGCAAGACATTGCAAAGTACAAAATTACTTTTTTCTTGAACAAGTCATTGACCTGTTACAATTGAGGTTATTATGTCAACTGTAGTTTCAATTGTTAAAATACTTTACATCTTGACATCAATAACTTATATCATTCCTATTTACATAAAAATAGCCCTTCAAATCAACCAAATTTCCAACATCAAAAGAAATATGACAGCTAAGTCAAAACAAAAACGAAAATAAAAATAAAAATTCACCTCTAAGCAATGAAATATTTACAAAATCTGATGCCTACGCAGTTCATTCCCCTTCGATCTCTTGGACATTCTTTAATGTGGCGTGTTTACTCATATGTTTAATTTTGTTATTATTATTATTATTTTTCTTTATCGTGATTCTACAATGAAAGTTTTAATTATATGTTGATTCTTAACCTGAAGAACTCGTGTTTCATGAATCAGAATAAAGCAATGGAAGGTTCTTTCAGACCTTGGAATGATCCAGAATGCTGCGCAGTGGAGAAAGAACATTGTCCATCATCGTCCTCCTGCTCCCCATCGCAGGGAAGAAAAAAGCAAAGAACTTCTTTCGAACCCGGGAACAACTCTGAAAGCATCGCAGTTGGGCAATTAAATTGTTCGTCGCTCCTTCAAGAACTCGTGTTTCATGAATCAGAATAAAGCAATGGAAGGTTCTTTCAGACCTTGGAATGATCCAGAATGCTGCGCAGTGGAGCAAGAACATTGTCCATCATCGTCCTCCTGCTCCCCATCGCAGGGAAGAAAAAAGCAAAGAACTTCTTTCGAACCCGGGAACAACTCTGAAAGCATCGCAGTTGGGCAATTAAATTGTTCGTCGCTCCTTCCCCTCCTGCTCCCTGTCACCGGGGAAGGAAAAAGGAAGCAATTACTTCCAATTAGGAGGAAGACCATGAAGTCTCAAGTGAAGCAAGAACCTCCTTCCCCTCCCCATCTTCCCATTGTTGTCTGGGAAGAAAATATGAGCCTGAATGTAGTTGATATTAATATCGGTTGTATGTAATAGAGTGGGAATCTTTTGATTTTTACTTAAAATGGTGCAGTTGGCTGCAAGGATTGTTGTTTCAGATGTACACAAGAATGCTAAGATAGTTAAGCAGTCTTAATTTGTGTTCTTGTAAGATCAGGGACGTGAAACCTTGTTAGTGAGAGGTTGAGACTAAAGGCGCCTCTAATTGCAGATGATGTAGGTCAATAAGTGTGTCTATTTCTCTGTCTCATATGTTTGGTGTCCTGCTATGGAAATTCATGTCGCGTCATAAATTTCAGCTACCTGTCTTGTGATCTTTTCATTTTTCAATAGCATATATGCATAAATTACTTCCAAATATATGCT